GTCACAGCGTTGGACACAACTGAGCAACTGAACTGTACTGAATAGTCTACCTTCATTTTTTTACATGTGGATATATAGTTACCTCCAAACCATTTGTTGAATAGACGATTCCTTTCCCACTGTTTGATCTTGGTGCCCTTAAAAATCAATTGACCACAGATGATAAATTTATTTCTGGACTCTATCCCATTGAACTGCAGGTCTATCTTTATGTCAGTATCACTCTGTGTTGGTACCCTAACCTTGTAAGTTTTGAAATCAGGGAGCATGACTCCTACAACTTTATTCTACTTTTTAAAGATTGTTTTGGTTATTAGAGTCCTTTGCAATTCAATGATTATTTTAGGATCAGCTTTTACATTTTTGCAAAAATAAAGGCTATAGGTACTGAACTGAATTTGCAGATCACTTTGGAGAGTATTGCCATCTTAACAATACACCACCTTCCAATTCATGAACAGGAGGTGTCTTTCCATTTATTTAGGTGTTCTTCACATTCAGCAATGCTTCATGATTTTCAGTGTATAAGTCTCACACTTTGTTGACTAAATTTATTTCTAAGTACTTTATTCTTTTGACAGTACTAAAGTGAAATTATTTTCATAATTTTCTGGAAATGGAATTGTTCTTTGCTAGTGTATAGAGATGGAGAAGGAAATGGCAACCCACTCCAGTGTTCTTGCCTGGAGAATCCCAGGGACAGGGGAGCCTGGTGGGCTGCCATCTATGGGGTCGCACAGAGTCGGACACGACTGAAGCGACTTAGCAGCAGCAGCAGCAGCAGTGTATAGAGATACCACTGATTTTTGCATGTTGATCCTGTACCATGTCACTGTGCTGAATTTATTAGTTTTAGTACTTTCTTGTGGATTCTTTGGGGATTTCTGTATATAGGATCATGTCCTCTATAAAGAGAAACAATTTTAGCTATTCTTTTCTAATCTGGATAACTTTTCTTTTTCTTGTCTAATGGCTTGAGCTGGAAGTTCTAGGACAATGTTGAATAGCAATGGTACATGTGGTATTCTTATCTGTTCCTGATCTTAGCAGGGAAGCTTTGAGTCTTTTACCATTTAATATAATGCTAGCTATGGGTTTTTCATAAATGCCCTTTATCAAGTTGAGGATATTCCTTTCTATTCTGTTTTCTGAGTTTTTTGTTCCCTCATGAAAGTGTGTTGCAGTTTAAAAAAAAATATTTTTTTTGGTATTTATTAGTTGATCACATGGATTTTTTTCCCTTCATTCTAGTAATATGGTGTATTACAGCCATTGGTTTTCATTTTTGAGCCATCCTTGTTTTCCTGAGGTAAATCCCATTTAGTCATGTTTTATAAATCTTTTAATGTGCTGCTAGATTCCATTTGCTAATATTTGGTTGAGAAGTTTTACATCTATATTTATAAAGTATATTGGTCTATAGTTTTCTATTCTTGTGATGTCTTTGGCTTTGATAGCAACATTATTAGTCTCATTAATGAGTTAGAAAGTGTTCCCTCCTCTTGTTTAGAAGAGCCTGAGAAAGATTTCTGTTAATTCCTCTTTAAATATTTGGTAGAATTCACCAGGGAAGCTGTTTGGTCCTGGACTTTTCTGTGTTGTAAGGTTTTTGGTTACTTTTTCAATCTATATTTTCTACAGGTCTGTTCAGATTTTTTATTTCTTCTTGAATGTATTTGTCTGTTTCTAGGAATATGTCCATTTCATCTCATTGGCATATAATTCTTCATAGTAGTCTTTTATAATCCTTTTTATTTCTGTAAGATTGGTGGTAAATGTCCCACCTTTATTCCCGATTTTAGTAATTTGAGTCTTTCTTTTTTTTTTCCTCCTGGAACAATCTATTTAAGTTTGTCAATTGTGTTGAAACTTCCAAAGAACCATTTATTGTTTCATTTATTTTTTCTATTTTTTCTCTTCTCTGTTTTGTTTATCACCACTCTAATTTTTATTTCTGTTCTTCTGCTTGCTTTGAGTTTAGTTTTCTCTCCTTTTTATAATTCCTTAAGGTGGGCTAGTTAGGTTATGAATTTGATATGTTTCTGTTTTCAAATGTAGGCCTTTGTAGGCATAAATTTCCCTCTGAGCACTGCTTTCACTGAATCTCATTAGTTTTGGGATGTTGTGTTAATCTCAACATACTCTCTAATTTCCCTTGGTTTATTTCTTCAACCTGATGGTCATTTAGTAGTGTTGTTTAATTTTCACATATTTGTATATTTTGCATATTTCTTTCTGTTTTGAGTTCCAATTTCATTTCACTGTGATCAGAGGACATACTTAGTATGATTTCAATCTTCATACATTTATTGAGGCCTGTTTTGTGGCCTCAAAATGTTTATCCTTGAGAATCTTATATGCACTTGAAAGGAATATGTATTATAATGTGCTGTTTTGGGGTTGACTGTTCTACAGATGTTTGTAAGGTCTATTTAGTTTATAGTGCTGTTCAAGTCTTGTATTTCCTTCTTGATCTTCTATCAAGTCTTTCTATCAATTATTGAAAATGGAGTATTGAGGTCTCCAGCTATTACTGTAGAACTGCCTCTTCTCTCCAATTCTGTCTACTTTTGGCATGTATTTTGGGATTTTGATGTTAGGTGTGTATATAAGATGCACATACATTTATAATTGATATACCTTCTTGGTGGATTAAGCCTTAAAATATTTTTATTGAAGTGTAGTTTATTTCCACTATTGTGTTAGTTTCAGGTATACTGCAAAGTGATTCAGTTATATGTATATATCTATATATATTTTCAGATTCTTTTCCATTATAGGTTATTACAAGATATTGATTATCTTATAGTAGTTCCTTGTGCTACATAGTAAATTCTTATTTATCTATTTTACATGCAGTAGTAAGTATCTGTTAATCCCATACTCTTAATTTATCCCTCCTCTCCCACCATCTTTCTTCGTTGGCAACCATAAGTTTGTTTTCTAAATGGATTGACTTTTAAAATATATATATATATAAAATACCCTCTTTTTTAATCTTAACAATTTTTGTCATAAAGTATACTTTGATATTTGGAGAGCTACTCTAGTTTTTAATTAGTTACTGTTTGTATGGGATAGCCTTTTCTATCTTTTTATTATGCTTGCAACCAATTCATATCTTTGAATCTAAAATGAATCTCTTACAGACAATATACATCTGGATCATGTTTTTAAAAAAGTATCTACTTTTCCAATCTCTCCTGTTAACTGGAGTTTAATCTGTTTGCATTTGAAACAATTACTGATAAGGAAGGACTTCTGATATTTTGCTATTTGCCTTCTAAAGTGTCTTATATCACCTCCCATTCCTCCATGACTACCTTTTTTTTGTATTTCACTGATTTCGCTTTTCTTTTTTTTTTTTTTGTAGTTTACCCCTTTGATTTCCCGCTTATTTCTTTTTCTGTGTATTTTTTACCTATTTTTGTAGTGGTTGCTCTGGGAATTAGAATTAGCATGTTAATTTGTAACAGTATATTTTGGATTAATACATACTGAATTTCAACAGTATATAAAGTCATTGCTCCTATATAGTTCCACCTCCTTTATGTTGATACTGACAGAAATTACACCTTCACACATTGTGTACCATGAAGACAGATTTATATTGTTTTATATAGTCATCTTTTAAATCCTATATTAAAAAAGAGGAATCACAAAATATAGTAACACTGTCTTTTGTATTTATTTACGTATGTAGTTGGGCTTCCTGTAAAAAATCAGCCTGTAGTGCTGGAGATCCAGGAGATGCAGGTTCCATCACTGGGTTGGGGAAGATCCCCTGGAGGAGGGCATGACACCATGGAATTCTCCAGGTAAGAATACTGGAGTGGGTAGCCATTCCCTTCTCCAGGGGATCGAACCTGGGTCTCCGGCATAGCAGGGGGATTCTTTACTGCCTGAGCCACTAGGGCAGCCGTAGTTACCTTTAGCCTGTGCTTTATTTCTTTGTGTAGATTTCAGTTTTCTTTTGGGGCTGCCTGCAGAACTCCTTAGCATTTTCTGCAGGGAAAACACAGGTCATGAGACTATTTAGATTAAAATAGGAGAGACACCTTGGTAAACAGGGTTGATCAGGTAAAAATGACAGTGATATAAAAGGGAGAGTTCAGAAAAATTCATGGCTCAATCACAAGATTTTCTTGATGACAGGGATGCTGCTGCTGCTGCTGCTGCTGCTAAGTCGCTTCAGTCATGTCCGACTCTGTGAGACCCCATAGACGGCAGCTTACCAGGCTCCTCTGTCCCTGAGACTCTCCATGCAAGAATACTGGAGTGGGTTGCCATTTCCTTCTCCAATGCATGCATGCGTGCTAAGTCGCTTCAGTCATGTCCGATTCTGTGCGACCCCATGGACAGCAGCCCACCAGGCTCCTCTGTCCAAGGGATTCTCTAGGCAAGGATACTGGAGTGGGTTGCCATTTCCTTCAGACAGGGATTCTAAGTTTGTTTATTCAGGATGCTGAGGGAAGTGTGCCGACAGTGGGACTGACTGCATTAAAGGTCTGAAGTGTATGTAAGAACTATGGGAGAGGAAGGTGAGACAAAAGTAGAACCGTACCCACCTATGCAGTTCCAACCAGTTAGAGATTCATTCCACCATGCTGGGTATTGTCCTTCCGAAGTTTTAACAATAAAGCCTTCTAGCGGCTCACTGTGGCGCCCAGGGCAGCTTCCGGTCCGTTCACCCTGTAGAGGGGGCCCTTGCTGGGAGGCAGATCCCATCAGGCCTTGCGGGTGGCTCAGCACGACTGTGACGTGTCTCGCTGTCAGCTGCCGAACCGAGGCTGGCGTCGTGAGGGAAACTGCTTTACTCTCTGTGAGGAAAGCAGGAGACTGGGAGGGAGAAAGAGGCCGACGAGGAGGCCAAGGTTGGGCTAGGACTGAAGGAGGACTGACCCGGCAGGTGAAGGGCGGACTTGGTAGCAGCTGCAGCTTTTAGTTGCCATTGCTGCTGGGAGGTGGCGTCTTCCTCAGTGAGGTGGTTGGTTGACTAGGTCTCGGCGGCCATGATGGTGAACTTTGGGGACCACACCAGTGGCTTTCGTCACAACGATGTAATCAGTTTCATCAACAGCGAGGTCCTCATGAACGGAGGCGACCATGATTTCTATACGGCCTTCTGCTCGGGACCCTGGAGTGAGGTAGAGGATCGGCTGCGAGTTGTCTTAGCTAACCCACAGGTGCCGCACGCCATCAAGAGGGCCTGTGCCTGGAACGCGCTGGCCTTTAGCGTGCGTGTTGGCATGAGGCAGCAGGAGCGGCAGGAGCGTCAGATCCGGTGGCTGCAGGAGCAGATAGAGGAGCAAGAGAAGACTTACTGGGCCCTGGCCTTCAAGCTGCAGCGCCTGCGTGATGAGCGGGAGGAGATGGTGTCACAGTTGCGTTTCACATGGGTCTCACTGAAGCAGGTGCTGAAGGAATGTGATGTGCTTCGTGGGCGGCTGCTCCAGGTCCCCCCATTGGCCCAAGAGATGGGGCCTGGGCCTCGAGCCAAGCAATTTGGGGCAGTAGCATGGCCCATGAGCACGGAGCAGCAGGTGGCCATGGGAGTGCCTGGCAGGCCTTATTTTGAGGCAGTTGCTGATAGGCTGAGGCAGATGCCTGCCCCAGAAGCTGCTGTTTATGTGCCAGGACCACCAAGTTCCTGGTCTCAGGCCATGAAACCCCCTATGCCAATGCCGATGCTGTATCCATTTCCATACCATGCACCATTCCCCATGGGATCACAATCCTTGCCGCCTGTACCACCAGCAGAAGCAGAAGCTGCAGCAGTCCCATTTCAGATGCCTTCTCCGGGAGCCTCTCTACCTGGCCCATTGGTTGCAGTGGGCTTTCAAGAGAAGATAGCCCCCCTGGGCAACAAGAAGAGCTACAGCCAGGGAGGTCCTGAGATCCTGCAGGGTACAGTCCCCTTAGGGGGTATCAGAAGTCTTAACCAGGAAGAAGGTCAGGAGAGGTCACAGGAGATGGTCCCTCTGGGGACCAGTGGGAGCCACAGCCAGGAAGAAGTTCCCAGAAGACCCCAGGGGACTGTTCCCCTGGGGGACAGCAGAAGCCAGAATCAGGAGAGAGATCTAGAGAGATTCCAGAGGATTCTCCCCCTGGAGTACAATAGAAGTCACAAGCAAGAAGATCCAGAGAGACCCCAGGGGACTGACCACCTGGGAGTCAGCAGAAGCCAGAGCCAGGAAGGAGGTCCAGAGAGGCCTCAGGCTACTGCCCAGGGGGACAGCTGGAGCCATGATGGGAGAGAAAACCCAGAGAAACAACAGCCTCAGGAGCAGAAGACCGAGAAACCAAAAGGGAAAGAAGCCTCAGAATCATACCACAAGGAGAAGTCTGCTTCAGGTTGCAGTTCAGTGAATTGGAAGTGCCCATGGTGTAAAGTGATGAATTTTTCGTGGTGCAAGTCCTGCTATAAATACAGGAAAGTCTGGAGGGCAGTTGGGAGTGGAGGCCCAGACTCAGGACAAACTCACCGATTTCAGGAAGGTAAGTAAGAATGGAAACACTCCAAAGAAAAACCAATTTCCTAAGAACCCATACTCTTTTGATAAGAAAGTTCTCATCTACTTTACAGAAAATGTGAAACCAAAATTATGATATAAAAAATTAAAGTAATTCATTATCCCATTACCTAAATAACAACTTTTTATCATTGTGGGTATACATATACACGTAAATAACGTGCATGCTCAGTGGCTTCAGTCATGTCCGACTCTTTGTGACCCTATGGAATGTAGCCTGTCAGGCTCCTCTGTCCATGGGATTCTCTGGGCAAGAATACTGGAGTGGGCTACCATTGCCCTCCTCCAGGGGATCTTCCTGATCCAGGGATCAAACCCAAGTTTCTTATGTCTCCTGCATTGGCAGGTGGATTCTTTATCACTAGTGCCACCTGGAAAGCCCACACATAAATACATATATGTGTGTGTGTGTGTGTGTGTGTGTGTGTGTGTGTGTGTGTGTGTGTGTGTGTATGGTTTTCATTTACTTGAAGAAAGATGGATGGCTTTTAAGTATCATACTCTAAGGAATTTCTCCTAATTGAATTTATGTTCCCAGGTGCTGAATTCTACATGGTTGATACTGATTGATTGACATCCCAGAGAAGCTGAGGTCAAGACTTTTATTTTTCCTTTTTCACTCTTTTCTGTTTTCTTTCTTAAAAAAGAGAAATTATTTATTTATTTATGGCTGGCCATGCTGGGTCTTCATTGCTGCTCACGGGCTATCTTGTTGCAACCAGAGAGATCTACTCTTCTTTGCGTTGTGTGAGCTTCTCATTATGGTGGTTTCTCTTGTTTCAGAGCCCAGGCTCTAGAGCTCTCAGGCTCAATAGTTGTAGTGCATGGGCTTAGTTGCATAATGTGGGATCTTCCCAGACCAGGGCTGGAACCTGTGTCCCCTGCAATGGCAGGTGGATTTGTAACTATTGGACCACAAGGGAAGTCCCTCTGTTTTCTTATTAATCTTGTTTTCCAGAAAATGCCATGTCTTTGGCTGGAAACAGCCATGCATTTTTAGTTATAAGCTATATTGAATTTTAGGAACCCTGCTATTCCTTGAAAATGCTATTGTTCATTTGTTAACTACTGCAAAGCTCATGTTTACTTCTTGTTTTTGTTTTTTAAGTTTTACAGGTGAGAGTTTGTTTTTATGTCTCTGAGCCCTACAGAATTTGCTTCTTCTGCAGAATCTGAACCTATCCCATTGGATCTTCCAAGAGCCTAAGACATAATCCTCATTTCTTTCTGACCCATACCACAGTGAGGCCCCACACTGACTGGATCTGAGAAGAGAGAAAAGTCAGGAAAGAAGAGATGCTTTGGCACTTGGGAGAAAAGGAGGGCAAAAGAATTTTGTTAGGATTTAATTTCTCTGTTGGGACAAGGAATTCAGAGTTGAAGGATGAAGTGTTAAGTTGTATAGACGATAGCAAATTTGTTGAATTTCATTTAATTCATTAAACAAATAGTTATTTTCTGATATGTTTTAGAAACTAGAGTTATATGTTAATATCTGGTGCATACCCTGTAACCTGATTTGGTGAGTTTGGTTAGATAACAGGAGAGAGCCAACTTTGGGATACAAATTATATCCGGAGTGATTTCTTTGTCTCTTATGTCATGTGGCCTTTGCATAAACGCAGTTGAAATAGCATCCAGATTATTTCTGTAGTTTTGGGGGCAAGATCAAAGAGATTTTTGTGGATGGACTTGATTTGCCAACAGCTCATCTTGTTGGTCCCAGATGACACAAATGAGTAGTGGCAAAGAGCAGGAAAGTGGCCTCACAAGAGTGCAGGCAAGACTTTTCTGATACTCCTGATTTCCTCCCTTGAGAGGAATAGCTAGTTTTCTGGTTGCCTGAAAGACCACTGAGTGACTGTCTTAAAGAAGTGCTTGGGGAACTGTTGGCGACACAGCTTCAGGCAGCCACCATCCCAAGCCCCTTTCCAGCCAGTGGATGAAGAACAAAATGTGTTCTAAGGACAGACATCGTGCTGTGGATGGTGCTTCTCTTGGGAGGACTAATTGGATTAAAAGTAGAACTGGACTGGGACAAGAACTCTTGAGAATGCCCTTGGGCCCTTCTCTTCCACTTTGTGTGTTCTCTGCAGGCTCTGCTCCCCTGAGGCAGCTGCTGCAAGCCAGGGGGAGCCAGGGTGGAGCCCAGGGGCTGGAAAGTCAGATCAGCCTCCAGTCTGAACAAGAGGTGTCCTTGAGTTCCCCCTGGAGATTCCAGCTCACCAGGCTCAGCCTTTGTCAGAGGTTTTCTGCTTCTAACTAGTAATAAAGAGTGTTTACTTACCTGCTGTGTCTTATATGTTGTGTGTACCGAGGGGCAGGTTTGCTCAGAAGTGGTGTTTTAAATCTGCCTCTTCCCTCCATCCCACTGAGGTGACTGGAGAATTCAATTTCATTCACTCTTTAAGGGCCCCTCCTCTTCCTGCGAGTTACTCAAGAATTGGGGGGAGGGACTTCTGTGGGGTCTTCAGTCCTTTGTGATTGTCCCTGCTCCCCTCACTGTCCAAGTCCTTGAAGGTGGGCTTCTCTGCTACTCCTGGGCCCATGGGGCACGAGAGGGGAGGAGAGGTTAGGTGAGGTGAGAAGGGGATTTCTGCCTAGGCTGGGAGCCCTAGTGCCTCCCTACCTGCACCAAGAAGCCCTGAGGCCGTCTCCCAGAAGTGCCTTAAACAGAAATTTCTGCCCCGCAGGGCACTCAACCCTCCCTCCTATGCACAATCCCATCAAGGTGCTCAGGATTCTGGAGAAGAGCCAGGTTTAGCCAGTTGGCTAACTTGGCGAATGTTCCCGGAGGCAAAAGGGGTAGAGTCTGGCTCCCTGCTTGCTGTTAAGACACACAGGGCAGAGAAAAGACATGAAACTGCCCCACCAGCATCCTCGCTCCCAGGGTCCTGATTACCGGGAGGCCTTGGTTATTTGGGAGGGCACTGGGGCGGAAGGGGACCATCGGGGACATCAACATAAAGCTAAGCTTTCTGGGTTGGAGCCCTGGTTTTGTGATACACTTGTGTATGCTGATAACTCCCTGGAATTCTGGGAAGAGGAGATTTTGGAATTTTCCAGCATAATCCATTTTGGTGTATCATCAGATCATTTTAGATCTCACTACATTTGCTGCATTTATGGTTTCATATGGACTCTGCTATTCATTGGTATACCTTTAGGTCTGCATGAAAGCACTCACCCTGTGCATAGCTTTTATGTAGTTAATATAACTGTCTTTCAGGGCTGAATTTTCCCAAAGCAACCGGAATAATTGAAGCTGTCAAATCACTACTTTCTTCTGGGTTGGGTACACACAGGAAAAGGCAGGAGGTTTTTGAGGCAAGAACCTGGGCTTTGGAATTAGAGAGACTTGAGATCAGATACTTGCTCTGCTATTCACTAGCTTTGTGACCTTAAACAAGTTACTGAACTTCTCTGAGCCCCAGTGAGTGGCTGTTCCTTTTCCCTGCCCTTAAGGTTCTGCTCTGGATGATGTAGTAATGAATATATGGTATTATTAATGATTGTAACAGTTACCATTGAGTGCTTACTATGTACTAGGCACTCTAAGCACATTACCCTTTTGGTGACTGTATTATTAGTTCTTCCAAGTGAATCTTATTATCCCCATTTTACAGATGTGGTAACTCAATACTGAAATTTGGGAGTTGGTGAAGCCTGGGTTCAAAATGATATTTTACTGATTCTAACATCTGCGCTCTCACCATTGTAACACACTGTCTTAACCTTTTACCTTTATTAAGTAATATATTTATAAATTAACATGGATTATCAATGCCTAAGCCCAGTGAAATGACTAATGGAGAGACTTTGAGGCATAGTGGCAATCTGGTGGTCAGGAGCTGCTCTTTTAGAATCTCTCAGGCTTTGGGATATATGACCATCTAGGCTGCCAGTAAGTAGGACCACTAATTATTTCAGGACTGCAAAAAAAAAAAAAAAGAGGGGCAGTAATTTAGGCAGTGGGAATGACTTGTATTTGATTCAACAGACTGGCCTTATGAAAAGGTCATTAAGCCTAGTTCAATATTAAGATAGGTACTTCCCTGGTGGTTCAATGGTTAAGACTCTGGGCTTTCACTGTATGGGGTGCGGGTTTGATCCCTGGTCGGGGAACTAAGATCCCACATGCCACGTGGCGTGGACAAGAAAAAAATACTATTAAGATAGAGCCCATCTTGCTTATCTAAAGTGAAAGTGAAAGTTGCTCAGTCATGTCTGACTCTTTGCAACCCCATGGACTATAGTCCATGGAGTTCTCCAGGCCAGAATACTGGAGTGGGTAGCCTTTCCCTTCTCCAGAGGATCTTTCCAACCCAGGGATCGAACTCAGGTCTCCCACATTGCAGGTGGATTCTTTACCAGCTGAGCCACCAGAGAAGCCCAAGAATACTAGAGTGGGTAGCCTATCTCTTCTCCAGTGAATCTGCCCAACCAAGGAATCGAACCAGGGTCTCCTGCATTGCAGGCGGATTCTTTACCAACTGAGCTATCAGGGAAGCCAACAGCTTATCTAAAGTTGGTCTGAATTACTCAGTTTTTGTTTTAAGTGGGTAAGGTGCCAGCTCTAACAGTCCAGTAAGTTATGTCTATGTACTTTTCAGTGAGTAAGTAGGGGGAAAGGAGACTTTAAATCTCCAGACATGTTGCAAACCGGGTAATGGAATCAATGTTTTTATTTTTTATTTTATTTTTTTTTCTTTGATTCTCATTTTTTTTTTCATTTATTTTTATTAGTTGGAGGCTAATTACTTTACATCATTGCAGTGGTTTTTGTCATACATTGAGATGAATTAGCCATGGATATACATGTATTCCCCATCCCGGTCCCCCCTCCCACCTCCCTCTCCACCCGATCCCTCTGGGTCTTCCCAGTGCACCAGGCCCGAGCACTTGTCTCATGCACCCAACCTGGGCTGGTGATCTGTTTCACCCTAGATAATATACATGTTTCGATGCTGTTCTCTTGAAACATCCCACCCTCGCCTTCTCCCAGAGTCCACAAGTCTGTTCTATACATAGGAGTCTCTTTTTCTGTTTTGCATATAGGGTTATCGTTACCATCTTTCTAAATTCCATATATATGTGTTAGTATACTGTAATGGTCTTTATCTTTCTGGCTTACTTCGCTCTGTATAATGGGCTCCAGTTTCATCCATCTCATTAGAACTGATTCAAATGAATTCTTTTTAATGGCTGAGTAATATTCCATGGTGTATATGTACCACAGCTTCCTCATCCATTGGTCTGCTGATGGGCATCTAGGTTGCTTCCATGTCCTGGCTATTATAAACAGTGCTGCGATGAACATTGGGGTACACATGTCTCTTTCAGATCTGGTTTCCTCGGTGTGTATGCCCAGAAGTGGGATTGCTGGGTCATATGGCAGTTCTATTTCCAGCTTTTTAAGAAATCTCCACACTGTTTTCCATAGTGGCTGTACTAATTTGCATTCCCACCAACAGTGTAAGAGGGTTCCCTTTTCTCCACACCCTCTCCAGAATTTATTGCTTGTAGACTTTTGGATAGCAGCCATCCTGACTGGTGTGTAATGGTACCTC